TCACTGCATCCTACGGCTGCGGTGAAGGGGCGCGAGGGCGCAGATTGATGACGTGGAGTGTTTAGAAGATTACCATTGTGGGCTATTGCGGTGTATGAGTTCACTGTCATTATCCAGAGCGGTGATTGGTTAACCGTTATTAGTCGCTGCAGTGATTAATTAACTGCGTTTAATGAAAACGGTGATCAGTTCACTGTCATCATCCACCGCGGTGATCTCTATCATTGTCTTCGTCTATTGCAGTGATGTACAAACATACGTACTTTGTGAATTACTTTTATAGCTAACATATTTTCATAAATTTTTGTAATAACTAACGTATTCTGGGATTTTTTCCTAGAGAATTAGAGATCACTCTCACTTTAACCTACCTGAATTCCTATCTAACGCTCTAGGATTTTTAAAATACCACCATAAACCATATCAAAATGACGAATTTGTTCCTAATCCCACTTTAACCTAAACCCTAAATAAAAATAGGAACAAAACAATAAAATTTCAAAATCTTTCATCTAAAAAAAATTATAGACATATCATTAAAAAAACAATGTAATGACCAAATCGTTATCTTTTCATCCAATTAAGCATCAATTGACTCTGAAGTGGTAAATAATGATGGGTTGGATGTTGAGTTTTGACATGTCAACCAAAATACTAAGCTAAATAATTTAATAGTTAAACCTTCGATTTTATGTACAACCATAATCGAAATTTTTCTACAAAATTAATAGTCAACCTCTTTTGAAAGAATTATACATAAATCTAGGTGGTTGGACACCTCACACACTATCAGTTAAATATTTTTTTTTGTTTAATTTGAACATGAGATTATTTAAAATAACAAAAAGAAAAAAAAGAGAAATAAAGTTTCTTCCTATTTTGTCGTGTTCGACGACTAATCTATTCCTTACTTTCTCCTCCTTCTTTCTAAGAAAAATACTCTTCATCTTCCTTCATCAACTACTTAACTCTTTCAATTACGAGCTCCATAAAAAGTTCTAAGAATACTCCTCCTTTGAAGTTGGAGAAAGAGTAAAAATAACTGTATGAGAAGATAAAAGGAGGATGAACTATTGAACCTTTCTTAATTTTTTTATATTATAAATTATATTTTAATATTTTAATATTTTTTTTTTTGAGGTGTCGAGACATATGGACCTGCATATTATTCTGTTAATTTTAGCGTTAATTTTAACAGATAATCACTATTGAATTGTATTTCGAAAGGTTGACTAAATAATACCATGTCATCATGCTTCTATTAGTAAAAATTCGTAAGTGATAACCAACAAAAATTATTCATCAAAAGCAACTCATACAATCGAGAATTTCTAGAATCCGTCATCTTCTCCTCCTAAACAACCATCATAGTCACCTACTTCATAAAAAAAAACATCATAGTCAATTAGTCACGTACACTTTACGACCACCTGCCGCTCCAAATGAAGAAAATTACCTCCAATCCGGACTCGGCTACTCACTCCTTATGTAACCCAATTCGCCTATACTACTCCCACGATCCCGCTCCAATTCGTAAAAACGCAATTTTTTCGCAGAGCACGCAAAATTCGCGCTTTGCTTATTTTGAGAGCGCGGATTCCCTGAAATGAGAGCGTGGATTTCTGACTACCATCCTTTTCCGATTAATTGGCCGGAGAAAAGACACTGTGACATCACCAGATGCCACCGCCATCTCTTCCCATCGTAGCCGATTTTAACCATCGCCACCGCCTTCTCCCTGTTCACCAGCATCCGGCGTAGATCTCGCCTTCTACCAACTAGCTGGTTGTCGCCTTCCTCGCCGCTCCAGCCATCAGTGGCCATCCGTCTCTGTTTCTACCCCGGTTGCCAGATTCCCCGGCGCTAGCGAGTCGCGACCCAAGCCGTCGCTGATGCAAGCTTGGGCAGATTAAAATCGCCTGTTTAATTGACTATGTTTTTAAGATGGAAGGAACAAGGCGAGGCCCTTGTGATTTTTGACTACTAACGAATAACTTGCCCTTGTGCAATGGAGGATAAGAAAGCAGAGACTTCTGAATTTGGGAGAAGGCATTTGGGGGAACTGGGAAGGGAGAACGAGGAAGGAGGAGTCCTGGTTGGGTTTCGTCGTTTGGAGATAAGGGTTTTTTTTGAGGAAATTTTTTTAAATCATTTTATTGTTTCTAATTTCAATTTATTTTATATGGATAAGGGGTGATTTGTTAGAAGTTTTAAAACAATTATTGATCAAGGGTAAAAACAGAATGCAAGATTTATAATTGACGAGCTTGTTTGAATAAAAATGCATTGTCTAGGGGCTAAATGGTGACTTGATTTTTAATTAAAATAATAAAATAATGACGTTTTTTTCGCGCTCTCGATATTGAATTCTTGAGAAATTGGCGCTCTGACGCTCTCGCTCCCGCTCTCGCTCCCGCTCCAGCTCTCGCTCCACGCTCTGGTTACCTAACTCACTCCAACAACAAATCCAGTCCGCCCGTCGCCCATTTCCCTAAACCCCATAGCAAGGTTGTCAAACCGGTTTAAACTATTGAGCCAATCAAGCAAGGAGTTTGAGGTTTAATGGTCTGATCGAGGTCCGCCCAATTTGAGCCGTTTAAATATATATAAAATAAGGTAGTAATTTATGAATTAATGACTGAAATAAAATTTATCTTACATATATCTATTAAAAACTTATTTTGCACAAAATAAATCTACCTAACCTCCATAACTCACCCACCATCTCCGTTCTTTTCGTGTCTCTTCCTCTCTTCCCCTCTCTTATTCAGTTATTCTCCCTCTTTAGGGATCAGACCGGCGGGTTTTCTGGAGGCCATTTTGAAGCCCGACTCGGGTTGGATCGGATCGAACCAGGGGTTTGATAGGGCTCAAGATAGGGTAATAACCAAATCTGCACCCTTCATTTAGAAAATCCAGATCTAAGGATGGAGAATTAAAAACCATTTTTATTTTTCCTAGCTTTCTTAATCGACTCATATCTTTTTCGTTTTAACTCGGATTTTTTTTTTGCACAGATGGAACGAGTTCATCGTGCTCTACAAAATGAGATCAATTTTCAATATTTTTTTAGAATAAAAAATCCTGGCCTCTCAGTACCAACTGCATACCATATGGTATCTTCTTCGTTTTTAATTCGTTTTTGAAAATGTTTGCACAGAAAAGACGAGTTCATCATGATCTATTGGATCTACAAATTTCTGGGTGAACAAATTACAGGACCGAAAAATGCCACACAATACCATACAATATCACCCTAGTACATGGTGGTATCTTGTAGTACACAATGTTAAAAGTAGTAAATGACAGTTAATATACTTCTATTATCATGTATTCAACCATCCTACAGTATTGGTTTGTTCATACCACCATGGTACGCTTTTCAAACCATAGGTATGCTCTTATTTCAATACTAGTCAATACCATATGGTATAGACTAGTAAAAAATGACTCAATTTTTTTTGTTCGAAAAATATATCAAAGTGGATATCATTTTGAAGAGCACAACTAATCTGATCTAAATGTGCAAAACAAATTAAATTTTGACTTAAAACAAGTGAGAAATCGTCCGTCAAAGATTAAGGAGGGGAAAATTAAAGACTTTCAAAGAGAGAGAAGCTGATGTCATGCTGATGTGGACGGATTACTCATGATTACTCACGGGTCTAGATCAGGTCAGTAACCAATAGGTGAGTAACTCTATGCATAACCCAATAAGAATTTGCCACATCAGCGCTTCTTTCTCTCTCATCGAAAACCCTTTAATTTTCCTTCCCTTAATCTTTAACAGACGATATCTCACTCGTTTTAACTCGGAATTTAATTTTTTTTGCATATAGATCAGATTAATTGTGCTCTTCAAAATGATATCCACTTTGATATTTTTTGGAACAAAAAAAATTTGTCCGTTATTACCAGTCTATACCATATGGTATTGACTGGTATTAAATAACAGCATACCATATGGTATGAAAAATACCACCCATACCAGGGTTGTATAGTATGGTATGGAGTTGGTAACGAGAGGTATGAAATTTTTTCAACCAGAAAATTTTGAAATCCAATAGATCATGATCAAATCGTTCCTTCTATGCAAAAATTTCCAAAAATTTCCCGTTATTACCAGTCTATACCATATGGTATTGAATGGTATTAAATAACAGCATACCATATGGTATGAAAAATACCACCCCATACCAGGGTGGTATAGTATGGTATGGAGTTGGTAGCGAGAGGTATGAAAATTTTTCACCCATAAAATTTGGAAATCCAATAGATCATGATTAAATCGTTCCTTCTATGCAAAAATTTCCGAAAACGACTAAACAACGAAGGAGATACCATATGGTATGGAGTTGGTAACGAGAGGTATGGAAATTTTTTTTCTCAAAAAATATTGAAAATGGATATCATTTTGTAGAGCACAACGAACTCGTTCCATCTGTGGAAAAAAAAATTGAAATCCGAGTTAGAATGAAGAAGATATGATCCAATCAAGAAAACTAGGGAAAATAAATTCATTTAATTCTCCACCCTTAGATCTGCTGCCACTTAAAAGAAGGGTCCAGATTTGGTTACTCATAGTTACTCACTCTAAGGTTACTCACCCTATCTTGACCCATTACTTACCATAAGGCTACTGACCTAATCCGTTCCCGTTCGATAGGGGTTTAACAACCTTGCCCATAGTAACCAAACCCACGGAGACAATCCAGATTCACTCATCAAATTTTTTTTTTAAGAATCCAATCATCAATTTTAACACTTTTGTTAAATATAATGATTTTACTGGACATAATGACTATATTTTTTATTATATGAAATGACAAAATAATTATTATACAAATATATTTTTAAATATGACGTGGATGATATAGGTGGGCCGAAAAATGTAATATTTTTGCCTAAAAAATGTAAAATGTAACTCAAAGCAGTGATCACCATTTGATAAAAATGTAATCCATGACAGAACCGGCCCACCCTCCAAATATAATATGACCCATGGGCTTCCACAATCGTGACTGCAAAATAGACCCGGCTCGTCAACGTCGTCCACCTACAACTTTTTCTAGGTTTCAGCTTCGGGATCTGTAATCAGTAATCCCCTGTTTGTCTCCTTAGAAAACGAGAGAGAAAGAGAAAGATTATCAGAATCAGCGTAGCGAGAAGCTAGAAAGGCGAGATCGAAGATGTATGGATTCTCGGCAATTCGGAGCAAGGATCTAGGGAAAGAGCCAGATCTCGAGGCCGGCAACGGCGAGACTCTGTATCCAGGTCTAGGTCTCGGCGAGAACCAGCTCCGATGGGGTTTGATCCAGAAGGTTTACGGCATCCTCGCCGCTCAGCTGGTCATCACCACCATCGTCTCCTCCGTCACCGTCCTCTACGCTCCCGTCAATGAGCTCCTTAGGGGAAGCCCCGGTCTCCTCTTGTTCCTCTGCGTCGTCCCCTTCATCCGTACGTCTTTCCCTCTCGATTTCCCCCCTCTCCTCTATCCGTCAATGTTTTGGGGATTTGGCTATAATTGGTCTGTAGTTATGAATCTGATTTCAATTTGAGGTGAAACAGGGTTGATTTCTGCCAGATGTGGATATAAATCGTATGATACGTCGGAAAATTTTGAGCAATTAGGGTTTTTTTTCTTTCACTCTTAGTGGTTGGGAATTGCATTTGCATTTTCATTGAACGGTTTTGTGTGGAAATTGTGTTTTTTCCCCTGATGATTACGGAGAACAGAATCAGCATATCTGCTTCCATTATTTCGTAGCTACTGTTCTTCAATTTACATGATGGCTGGCTTCTTGCAGTGATGTGGCCTCTTCACATCTACCACCAGAAGCACCCAGTCAACCTGATCGTGCTTGGCCTCTTCACCATTTCTCTCAGTTTCCTGGTTGGCGCAAGCTGTGCTAACACAGATGGTGAGCTTCTTCGATTGTGATTCAGATGATTGCAATCTGGCCCTTTCCAAAATGAAGCCTGATTGTGTAACACGGGGCTCGTTTTAAACAGGGAAAATCGTGCTGGAAGCATTGATCCTGACCTCTGCCGTGGTCTGCTCTCTGACTGTCTACACCTTCTGGGCCGCCAAGAGAGGCATGGACTTCAGCTTCATGAGACCCATTTTGTTCACCAGCCTCATGATCCTCGTACTCACAAGCTTCATCCAGGTCCGTCGTTGTTCGTTGGTGTCTTCTCTCGATCTCCCCATCCATACTTAAAAAGATGGGATTGCGTTGGTTCATCTTATCTTACCAATTGGTATGTTGGTGCCATTCTTTTGCAGGTGTTCTGCCCACTTGGTTCGACCTCCACTGCAGTCATTGGCGGGATCAGTGCACTGGTATTCTCGGGATTCATCGTCTACGACACCGACAACTTGATCAAGCGATACACTTACGACCAGTACATCCTGGCCTCCGTCGCCCTCTACCTCGACATCCTCAATCTGTTCCTCACCATCCTGCGCGTGCTCAGGCAGGGAGACAACTAAGTAGAAGCTTGTACATAAAAGAGCACCATTCTCTTTCTCTATTCGAAACTTGTTGAGCAAATGTCCACTTCTTATCGATCCTCCTCTCTTGTAATTGTCGCTATAACACACTCTTTCTCATCGGTGCTGCTTTGTGATTTCCTCGGATTTACAGTGTTAAAAGTAAATTCCCCCATTCCGTCTTGTCAAACAGCTGTAGATGAATTGTTATTACCTTTCGAATCCTGTGTTGCTCAATGAATAACCCGAATCCTATGTGATTTATCTGGAAAGCTTTCTATTCTAGTTTGTCTATACAGATAGCAGTAATCAATTAACAAAGTGACCTAGACTACTTGGCACGAACGTCGATGAGGCAGCTCCGTCAATTGGTGCTTTGGAATCTTGGATGGGCGGGAAGAACGAAAAGGAGAATCACCACGGCGGCTTGTGGTGGAGTCGGGATTAACGAGCTGGCACTCGTCGATCCACTCGGAGAAGACGTCGATGGGTTCGGTGAGACGATTCATCCTGGTGGTGTAAGACGCATCGCAGCGAAAGCAGCGCAGCGTGGCGATCCCGACCTCTTTGTCGAGGTGGGAATCGACACAGTCGACGAAGCCGCAGAAGGGGCAGCTGAAAACTTTCTCCAGATTCTCAGCGTGCTTGGGCTTCTTCGCGGCCAACTTCTTGGTCGCCGACGACTTGCGCTTCCCCATGACGGCGGTGATGGTCCCGGTCGATCTGCAGAAAGTAGAAACCTTGAGCCGCTGGCTTCCGTCTTTCTTTCCTTTTCTTCTCTCTCGCGCTGTGGAGATTATGTGAATGGACTGGAGTAGTCTGTGTTTATATAAGCAGTGAAAAAAGGAGGTTTTATATAATCCTTAGCCGACTAGGATTAGGAAATAGGAATCCTGTTACTCTGGGAAACGGTATTTGTGTGTACCTATTTCCTCTTCCTGAAAGGAACTGGGTTCTCTTTTCTTTTCTTCATTTCTTCTTGCTCAGTAACTAATAATTATACTTTTCCTCTGGCGACAAATGCCCATGCAAAAAAAAAAAAAAAAAAAAAAAAATCGTCGGCCGTCAAATAAATTTGTCCGATCAACTTATTTTGGTTAAAGCATTCAGGAATTTTTATTATTTCAGAAGTCATAATTTTAGGAAACCATGGGAATGGTAAACTGAATTTATAAAATTGACTCACAATTTTGATTGATTGGTGGGTTAAATTGTGCCAAAAATAAGCTCTATATAGTGAATTTTCATGAATATAATTATCTGAAAATATAAATATAGCGCTCCTCCATTTATTGGGAGATGAAAATTGAAAAGTGTTAACATTACATTGTTTGGACAAAATAGAATATTGGGGTCGAAAAATCCATTTCCATGGAGGGAGGGTTAGACTTTCACCATCAATAATTAAATTCCTATATCGCCCTTGATGTTTTTAACTTCAGTAGTTAATGAAATATATTGTTTTTCGGTTCCTATAAAAACAAAAATATATATTGTTTTTCGGTAGGCAGAGTATTGTGACTGTGGAAGAGAGAAAGGAAAGTAATAGAGAGAAAATACTTTGATATCTCTTTAGGGATGGCAAAAATATCCATAACGTGGATATTCGTCCGAACCCGGCCTAAACGGGTAGGACATTTAGTGGGTACGGGTAAAACTCGAACCCGAATATTGAGGGTAATGGGTGGGCATGGGTTTCTCACTATCCAACCCGAACCCGCCCGATTATACACATACATATGTATTTTGTCTATATATAATCATTATATTTCTCTAACATATTTTATATTTAGCATATAAATATAATATTTTCATGAAATTGTGTTGTTTTAATTAATTTTATTCATTCTAGTGAATTATTGTCATACTTTTCCTCTTAAGTAATGTGAGAATACGTGTGAATGTAACATATTGGTTGGAGTTATGAAGAGAAATCATTACCCATGGATAACCGTGGATACCCGAAACCCGAACGGGTGTGGGCATGGTTTTAATTTTTTACCCGTTTCACATGTGGGTATGGGTAAAACCCGAACTACTTTGGGTAGGGTAACGGATATGCACTATCCGTCCCCGACTCGACCCATTGCCATCCCTATATCTCTTCTCCTTTTTCTTGTTTGTTGCCGTTTGTCGATGGAGCCTCTATCGGAGGCGACCGTGTTTGTCCCAAAACCAATAGATTCATTGCCGACAACTACGTCGACACAACCGAGCAAGAAAGCAAAGACAGTAACGAGCAACGACTCCATAGGACATGCGGCCATGGAGGTCGCGGTGGTCACTGCAAGGACCGAGTCAGATCCGATGCTTAAACCTAAAAGTTTTAGCATATGCTTAAAATATTCCTATTGGCTGTTAGGAGTTTAGTTAGTTTATGGAAAGCTAGAAGTTAGTAGATTGTTAAGGGTAAATAGGGTATCATGAAAATAGTAATTAATTTCATTAATAATTAAAACAATGGTTCTCTCTCCTAAAACTCGGAATTAAAAGAAAATTCAAAACTATTTAATTAAATATTATTATATTTAATGAAATTTCATATTTAAATTTAGTCAGTTGATCTTAGTCCATGCAGGAATTCTCCCTGGCCGGAGCTAAGGACAACGATTACGTTATCAGTAGGGTCAAGACCCGGCCCAAGCATTGAACACGGTGGTTGCGTTCAGGCTTTTATTCGGGAAATAGGATTTCATTTTCGGATTAGAGAACTATCAGAAGTTTTTTTTTATACCGGCAATTGTACTATAGATGTGTTTTTCTTTACATTTTAGGGTAATGTTATTACCCAAATCTTTTGGATTTACAGATCGCTTGGTACATACCGTTTGGTATAAATGAATTCCATAAGATTTGAGGAATTCATTTTGAAATGAAATATTTTTGTGTTTGGTATTAAAAAGAATTCATTTTCAATTCTAAATTTTGAATTCTACGAAATTGGAACTAGTTATAGCAATTCTGAGGAATTGAGATAGAATTTCCAAATGAATTCCACAAGTATTTACTAATTATAATAGAATGATATAATTATCCTCTTTTATTAACTAAATTACTTATACATATGACATACCAAACACAGAAATTCATTTGACAATAAATTCTGCACGACAATTCATTTTATTTCTAAGGATTTGAATATGACATACCAAACACAAGATTTCATTTGACAATGAATTCTACCAGACCGTTTGGTACCAAATGAATCGAGAATTCATTTCATTTTAAAATGAATTACCGTGTAGAATTCATTGTCAAATGAAATCCTATGTTTGGTATGTTATATTCAAATCATTGAAGTGTCGTGTAGAATTCATTGTCAAATGAATTTCTATGTTTGGTATGTCATATGTATAAGTAATTTAGTTAATAAAAGAGGATAATCATGTCATTCTATTATAATTAGTAAATACTTGTGGAATTCATTTGGAAATTCCATCTCAATTCCTTAGAATTGCTATAACTAGTTCCAATTCCATAGAATTCAAAATTTAGAATTGAAAATGAATTCTTTTAAATACTAAACACAAAAATATTTCATTTCAAAATGAATTCCACAAAACTTATGGAATTCATTTATACCAAACGGTATGTTACTTTAGCCAAATCTATTGAGATACTAAGAATTAGCCAAACATTTTGTAACACGTCAAAGTATTTAGCCATTTTTACGTTATCGTTAATAATTTTGTTACTCTTTTCTTAGTTAAAATACTAAAATTGCTGAAACTTTTTCTTTGTGTTACCTCTCTTTGTGCAATTCCACCCAGTAATTGCTCAAACTTTTTCTTCACACAGTTGTTGACATGTCATAAACATAGTAGGTGGACAGTATGTGGGAGAGGGAAGACCACAGGAACAGAAGCAAGCAGACCACCTTCTTTGTCTGCCACAATGACATTCGGAACCGTATCACCGAGCAACCCTTTAATACATCGCAGCAGCCACTCATATGTTTCCTTTGTTTCCTGCTTAATAATTGCACATGCACTGTTGAAATTCTTTTTGACCGGAGTAACCCCAATATTCTCAACCCATGGGGCGTCATACCTGTTCGTCTTGTAGGTTGAGTCGATGAGGATGACGTACATCCATGCATGCAACATCTGAATGGACGTCGGGTGAAAAAAAACAGATTAGTGAGCACAATTCTTAGCGTCCTTTTGCAAACAGATATGGTACCCACGCTGTTCAGCTCCGTGAAGCGCAAACTGTATCGCATCCATTTCACCCATCTCATCCAATCTTGCTTTGTAATTTCTGTTGTACATCCGTTTGATATCATGATGCACCCCCCTTCAGTATTGAGTGTCGTCTTCTGCTGATTTGGTCTCACCCCCACCTTCCTCATTAATCTTAACCTCTCTTTTTCAGCCTCACTAAACTCTTTGTTGTGTCGGTGACGTTCTGGATACAACATCTTTTCATGGTCGCGAAACCCTCTATTAGCTCCGGTTACACGACTTGTCACTCCTACTATGACCCATGTTTTTGGAGCATTCTCTTGCCATACTTCCTTAATACATATCTGAAATTGGCAACCAATACCCTTCGAACTAGTATTCCCACGCGTCTCCTTCGTAGGGTTTGGTTTATAAGACTTAACGATCCTACTGTTTCTGTCGCAAAACATATAGAGGGCAGTAACAGGATGTAGTGCTGCACTATTCGGTTTCCATGCTCCTCTAATAATAAAGAACCCACACTCCTGAGCGATTGCTTTTGCAGCTAACTCAGCTAACTCCACACTTGCATAATGAATCTCATTTTCAAATTCCTATGTGTAATCATGATCGGCCAGTAACCACTCTGACATTTTTCCTATAATTACAATATAGCACATCAATATTCCTATGAACCTAAACGCTAATTTCAAGTCTTAAATGCTAATTTGAAGTCTTAACCTCTAAATTCAACTCCTAAACTCTAAATTCAACTCCTAACCTCTAAATTCAACTCCTACACGCTAAATTCAACTCTTAAATGATAAATTCAACTCCTAAACGCTAAATTCAATTCTTACACGCTAAATTCAACTCCTAAAATCGAATTTTTCCTAAAAATTCCAAAGACAGACGGCATACCGAAAATTTTTCGGCATCCGGAACCAGGTCGAGCCGTCGAAAATCGGTGGCCAGAGCCAGGATGAGACAAAATCATTTTTTGGCTTAGCCTGGCTCCGGCCATCGATTTCCGTCGGCCTGGTTCCGGCCGCCAGAAATTATCGGCCCGACCAGGTTCCGGGCGCTGGAAATTTTTGGCCCGACGTCTGTTCGTTGGAAATCGTCGGAAATATTGTTCGAAACTACAAAAAATCGACTCACCTGCTTAGTGATGATTCATGGATGCGTGTCCGCAGTTTACGTCGAGATTCGGCTTTCCCGATGATTTTCCAGCGAGTTTTTTAACGAGCGTCAATTTTTTCCGATTCAATACGTTTTCTGAAAGTTGGATATGTTGTAGATTGTGAAACTCCTTTACTAAAGATGTAGATATATTCATTTTTTTTTGTTGGCGGCAAATAGCATGCCGCTAATAAAAATGGGACCAACTATATATAACGGTAATTGTTGCTAGTCCTGGCTTGACTTAAGCTAAGGTTAGTTATTCTTTTAGAGGTAAAATATATAATGAGGTGGAATAAATTATAATTTTATGGTTTACAATTTTTTATTTATAATTTGATGTTTTATTTATT